CCTGAGTAGTGTGCCATGGGGGATCATAGCTCACAGCAACCTCAGACTCCTGGGCTCAAGCGATTCTCTTACCTCAGTCTCCCAAGTAGCTGGGACTACATGCACCTATGCAACTCCCAGCTATTTTTATTTTTATTTATTTATTTATTTATTTTTGGCAGTTTTTGGCCGGGGCTGGGTTTGAATCCTCCACCTCCAGCATATGGGGCCAGTGCCCTGCTCCTTTGAGCCACAGGCGCTGCCCTCAGCTATTTTAGAGATGAGGTCTTGCTCTGCTTAGGCTGGTATCAAACTCCTGAGCTCAGGTGATCTGCCTGCTTTGACCTCCCAGATGGACTTAAGCTATTCTAATCATTCTAACAGGTATAAGGTGATACCTCATTTCCTGATGATTCATGACATTGAGCATTTTTTTATGTTTCTTGGCCATTTGTCTGTCTTTTGCCTACTTTTTTCTCCCTTCCCTCCCCCTCCCTCTCTTCCTCCCCCCACCTTTGACAGAATCTTGCTTTGTCACCTAGACTAGGGTGTCTAGTATCATTATAGCTCACTGCCACCTCAAACTCCTGGAATCAAGCAATCCTCCTGCCTCAGACTCCTGAGTGACTACGACCATAGGATATGCCACCATGCCTGGCTAATTTTTTCTATTTTTAGTATAGGAGGGGTTTCATTCTTCCTCTGGCTGGTCTCAAACTTCTAAACTCAAGTAATCCTCCCACCTTGGCCTCCCAGAGTGCTAGGATTACAGGCGTGACGTCCAACCTTTTGCCCACTTTTTAATGCAGTTTGCTTTTTTAAAAATCCTGTTTTTAAGTAGACACCTGACAGTGTGGTATGACTAGCCACGTGCTCTGTTTTCCGTTCTTTAGGCTTGCCAAGTTTTCTGCCTCTGAACCTTTGTCTTTTGCCTTTCTCCTGAACACTTTTACCTTTGGCATAGCTGCTGTTTTCTTCAGGTCTCAGTTTAAACGTTGCTCCCCCAAGAGAACTTTACTGATTATCTAAAATTACTCTCTATCATGTCAGTCTTCAATATGATGCTTTTTGTATTAGTTGTTTGTCTTTTGTATCCCTTTTTTTTTGAGGCAGTTTCACTATGTCGCCCTTGGTAGAGTGCTGTGGCAACCTCAAACTCTTGGGCTTAAACAATTCTCTTGCCTCATCCTCCCAGGCAGCTGGGACTATAGGTGCCCGCTGCAATGCCTGGCTATTTTTTTGGTTGCAGTTGTCATTGTTCAGCAGGCCCAGGCTGAGCTTGAACCCACCAGCCTGCGTGTATGTGGCTGGTGTCCTACTCACTGAGCTACAGGCCTGCTGTATCCCTTTTTAAGGAATTTTGTTTGTCTTGTTCACTGCTTTTTCCTCAATGCCTGGCGTACCATACTTTTAAAATAATTGTTGACTGAGTATGTTATGTTTTTCTCCAACCATAGTCAAATGGATTTAAGATAGATTAGAAACAGCAGTAAGTGCTTTTGGTTTTCTATGATTGCACAAAGCAGCAGTATAATGATGGTCACTCAGATCCTCTTTCCCCCCACCTTCCCTTCAATAATTCATTTTTAGCTTTTTTAGTATAGGTTATTAGTTATTGGCTTAGTATTTTTTTTCAATGAGTTTAAAAAAAGAAAAGGGAACATTTCTAGTGTTGATTTAGTAACTGCCTTTCATTTTAAATATTTTTGAATTTTTATTATGAAAATACTTCAACCTACGCAGAGGGAGTAGTACACTGAATCCTCAAATACCCATATTCTAGATTAAACAGTTATCAAGACTTTGTCTCATCTTACAATTTAAGTTAGATTCCTTGTTCCAGTTTTAGAAATAAGTTAAAAATTATAGAGCATAACTATATATAACATGAATAAATTATTTTGGGCTCGGCGCCTGTGGCTCAAGCTTTTAAGGCGCCAGCCACATACACCTAAGGTGGCGGGTTC